GGAATCGAGACCTCAAGTGTTTCAGATGCTTGGGATCAGGGCACATTGCTTCTCAATGCCCAAATAAACGACTAATGGTGTTGTTGGATAATGGAGAGGTGGTGAGTGAAAGTGAAGGAGAGTTTGAGGACATGCCTGCCTTGGAGGACGTTGAAGAAGAAGAAAAATTGGAGTTCGCTGTTGGGGAATCGTTGGTGTCAAGAAGAGCTCTTAACACTCATGTCAAGGTGGATGATTCGGAGCAGCAGCGAGAAAATATATTTCACACACGTTGTTACGTCAACGATAAGGTATGTAGTATGATTATTGATGGTGGGAGTTGCATGAATGTAGCTAGCACAACTTTAGTTGAGAAATTAGGACTAGCATTGTTAAGACACCCTAGGCCTTATAAGTTTCAATGGTTGAATGAAAGTGGGAAAGTTAGGGTGAATAGAAGAGTTTTAATTAATTTCTCAATTGGGAGTTATAGTGACAAAGTAGTATGTGATGTGGTGCCTATGCATGTGGGTCATATCTTGTTAGGAAGACCATGGCAATATGATAGAAGGGTCACACATGATGGATATAAGAATCGTTATAGCTTTGTCAAGGATGGGAAGATTATTACTCTTGCGCCATTAACACCGGCACAAGTGTATGGAGATCAAATCAAGCTGAAAAGTGATGAAGACGAGAGAATAAGAGAGTCAGGAAAAAGGAAAGGCAATAGTGAAACCATCAATAAGAGAGAAATAGTAAGGTGGCGGAGAGTGGAGAAAAGAGAGAGAAGCCACATGAACGGAGAGAAAAGGAGTCAGTTGAGAGGAGAGAAAAAGAATCAGCTAAGCGGAAAGAAAAGCCAAAGGTCAACTTCTATGCAAAAGAGAGTGAGTTGAAAAAGGCTATGAGGGATAATAGGCAAATGATATTGTTAGTGTACAAGGAGTCCCTCCTCAATTTTGAGGATTCTAACACATCCCTCCCTAGTTTGGTTAAGTCTTTATTGTAGGAGTTCGACGATGTGTTTCATGAGGAGATGCCAAGTGGATTGCCACCAATCAGAGGCATCGAGCACCAAATTGACTTTGTACCCGGAGCTATCATACCGAATCTACCAGCTTATCGAAGCAATCCCGAGGAGACGAAGGAGCTTCAAAAGCAAGTGGAGGAGTTGATGAGCAAAGGTTATGTTAGGGAGAGCATGAGTCCATGTGCTGTACCTGTTTTGCTGGTGCCTAAGAAGGACGGGACTTGGAGAATGTGAGTGGATTGTCGAGCTATCAACAATATCACGGTAAAGTATCGTCACCCAGTACCTAGGCTAGATGATATGCTTGATGAGTTGCATGGTGCTTACATTTTTAGTAAGATTGATCTTAAGAGTGAGTATCATCAAATTCTCATGCGGGAGGGTGATGAATGGAAAATGGCATTTAAGGCTCAGTATGGATTGTATGAATGGTTAGTTATGCCGTTTGGACTCACTAATACATCGAGCACATTTATGCGTTTAATGAACCATGTTCTGCGTGCTTTTATTGGGAAATTTGTTGTAGTTTATTTTGATGACATCTTAATCTATAGCAAAAACCTAGATGAACATTTAGAACATTTAAATTGTGTGCTTGTTGTGTTGCGAAAGGAACAATTGTATGCTAATTTTAAAAAGTGCACATTTTGCATGGATAGAGTTGTTTTCCTAGGATTTGTGGTTAGTGCTAACGGGGTGGAAGTCGATGAAGAAAAGATAAAAGCTATAAAAGAATGGCCAACACCTAAGACTATAACTGAAGTTAGGAGTTTTCATGGATTGACTAGTTTTTATAGGCGATTTGTAAGAGATTTTAGCACCATCACCACACCACTGACTGAAATAGTAAAGAAGAGTGCAGGTTTCCATTGGGGAGAATCTCAAGAAATTTCATTTAACACAATTAAGGATAAGCTATGTAAAGCACCTGTTTTGGCATTACCAAATTTTGATAAAATATTCGAGGTTGAGTGTGATGCATCAGGAATAGGTATAGGAGCAGTGTTAATGCAGGAAAGGAGACATGTTGCTTACTTTAGTGAAAAGTTGAGTGGGACAGCATTGAATTATCCGACATATGACAAGAAGCTGTATTCACTTGTTCGAGCATTGGAGACTTGGTAGCACTACTTATGGCCAAAGGAATTCATGATACACGCTGACCATGAATCTTTAAAGCATTTGCGAGGTCAAGGTAAGTTGAATAAAAGACGTGCGAGATGGATGGAGTTTATCGAGACATTTCCCTACGTCATGAAGTACAAACGAGGTAACGAAAATATAGTTGCTGATGCGTTGTCTCGAAGGTAAGTGCTTTTAAATTCATTAAGTACTAAATTACTAGGTTTCGAACATATTAAGGGCATGTGTGAATCTCATTGTGATTTTTCTAGTATTTATGCTTCATGTGACAAATGTGCATTTGATAAATTCTATGGGCATGAAGGATATTTGTTTAGGGAAGATAAGTTGTGCATTCCTAATTGTTCTTTGCGTGAATTATTGGTAAGGGAAGCACATGGGGTGGTTCAATGGGACACTTCGAGGTTCAAAGGACTTTAGATATGTTAGGGGAACATTTTTATTGGTCTAAAATGAGACATGACGTAGAACAAATACGTGGAAAGTGCATAACTTGTAAAAAGGCTAAGTCTAAGGTTCAACCCCATGGTTTGTATACTCCTTTGCCTGTATCTAGTGAACCTTGGGTGGACATATCTATGAACTTTGTGTTAGGTTTGCCTAGGACAAAAAGGGGTCGGGATTTAATATTTGCAGTGGTCGATAGGTTTAGTAAGATGGCGCACTTCATACCATGTCATAAAACTGACGATGCTACTAATATTGCAGACTTATTCTTTAGGGAAATAGTACGTTTACATGGAGTACCTAAAAGTATAGTGTCTGATAGGGACGTGAAGTTTTTGAGTCATTTTTGGCGTGTTCTGTGGAGTAAATTAGGAACTAAGTTATTATTTTCTACAACTTGTCACCCACAAACAGGTGGACAAACTGTGGTAGTTAATCGAACTATGACTCAACTACTTAGGACAGTGATCAATAAAAATCTGAAATCATGGGAAGAGTGTTTACCGTTTATAGAGTTTGCATATAATCGAGCTACACATTCTACTACTTTGTTTTCTCCTTTTGAAATTGTTTATGGTTTTAATCCACTAACACCTATGGATTTAATGCCTTTGCCTGTGCATGAATGAGGTAGCTTGGATGGGAAACGAAAAGCCGAGATGGGGAAAACACTCCATGAAAAAGTCAGGATGCAGATCGAAGAGAAAGGAAAGCTGATTGCATCAAAAGCAAATAAAGGAAGAAGACGCGTTACATTTGAGCCTGGAGATTGGGTCTGGGTGCATTTCAGAAAAGAGCATTTTCCAGAATAGAGGAAGTCAAAATTGCAACCACGAGGCGATGGACCATTTCAAATCATCGAGAGGATCAATGACAATGCATATAAAGTGGATTTACCTGGTGAGTATAATGTTTCAGCTACTTTTAATGTATCTGATCTCTCTCTGTTTGATGCAGGTTCAGATTCGAGGACGAATCCTTTTGAAGAGGGAGGGGATGATATGATCCAGGAGTCGAGCCCGACGAAGGCAAGTGCGAGACGAGACCCGTTGATAGTCGATGGTGAACCAATGATGTGATCAAGGGCAAAACAAGTGAAACAAGCGATGGGATTGCTCATTCAAGAAACCATTGATGGAACCATGTTCGGGACTCAAGATGGATCAACTTTTATGTTCGGGTCGAAGGTCGAATCAACTTGGATCAATTTGTTATCAAGGACGAAACCGGAGGCTCAAAACACCATGCGGCCGCACGGTGGCATACCGAAAATCAAAACACCAATTCTTGTTGAACCATGCGACCGCAAGGAAATACACCATGCGGCTGCACAAGGCAAAAATTTGGCGAATTTTCCAATTTTGGCCGAATTTCCTAGTTTCGATAGAATTCTTATGAAATCAAATTATTACCATAATTTGATGGATTTTGGACGTTTTTACTCACAAGTATAAATAGGAGAATACTTTTCATTGTAAAGACTCTTGACTTTTGCTTGAATAATATTATAGAGAGAGAATTTGTTCTTTCAATTTCTTATTCTTCTTGAACAATCTTGAAACTTATCAAGATTCAATTTCTTGTGGCGTTCTAAACAATCGGATTCTGGGTTCTTTTAATTGTAATAAAGGGGTTTTAGGTTCTTTGCTAATCTAGGATTTCTTGGTTCAATTCTTGGGGTTCAAGATCCAAAATCGGGTTAGTATTGGCGTTCTTGGGTTCCGCATCAATCTCGTTGTGGGTTTCATAGTTTCCATTGCTACGGGGTTCGCATCAAAACTTCTGGATGCTGGAATAATCTACCCGATATCAAATAGTAAATGGACTAGTCCAGTGCAAGTTGTGCCCAAGAAAGGAATAATTACAGTGGTTCAGAATGAAAAGAATGAGTTGATTCTGACAAGGATGGTAACAGGGTGGAGAGTTTGCATTGATTACCGCAAACTAAATACCGCTACAAGGAAAGATCACTTCCCTCTTCTGTTTATAGATCAAATGTTGGAGAGATTGGCAGGCCATTCCCACTACTATTTTCTGGATGGGTATTCGGGGTATAATCAGATACCAGTGGCACCGGATGATCAGGAGAAGACCACCTTCACATGCCCCCTATGGTACCTTTGCATACCGAAGAATGCCATTTGGACTTTGCAACGCTCCTGCCACATTTCAGCGATGCATGATGGCAATTTTCTCAGATACGGTGGAGAAATTCATTGAAATCTTTATGGATGACTTCTCGATCTTTGGGACCTCATTTGATGAGTGTTTGGAGCACTTAAACTTGGTTTTGCAAAGATGTAAAGAAACGAACTTAGTATTGAACTGGGAGAAATGTCATTTCATGGTTTAAGAGGGAATAGTCTTGGGACATAGAGTATCGACAAAGGGGATAGAGATGGATAAGGTGAAAATTCTGGTTATTGAGAAACTACTACCACCTACATCAGTAAAAGGAGTTCGAAGCTTCCTTGGGCGTGCAGGGTTTTACAGGAGGTTTATAAAGGACTTCTCGAAAATCACCAAGCCTCTGTGCAACTTGCTAATGAAAGAGGTATCTTTTGAGTTTAATGAGGAATGTTTGATAGCATTCAATATGTTGAAGCAAAAACTAACAACAGCGCTTGTGATTGTGTCACCTGATTGGGATTTGCCCTTTGAGCTAATGTGCGATGCGAGTGATCATTCAGTTGGTGCGGTATTGGGACAAAGAAATAATAAATCTTTCATGTGATATACTATGCAAGTAGAACTTTGAACGACACCCACATCAACTATGCCACAACCGAGAAGGAATTGCTAGCTGTGGTTTATGCATTCGACAAGTTCAGATCGTATCTTGTTGGGTCTAAGGTCATCATCTACACAGATCATGCCGCTCTGAATTACCTTATGACAAAGAAGGATGCTAAGCCGAGATTGATCCGCTGGATATTGTTGTTGCAAGAGTTCGATATTGAGATCAAGGATAAGAAGGGCAGTGAAAATGTGGTAGCTGACCACCTATCAAGATTGGAATGGGATGAACCTGAGATGTCAGTTGATATCAATGAAATCTTTCCAGATGAGCAAATTTTAGGAGTAGAAAAAGTCCCATAGTACACTGATATTGTTAACTACCTTGCTAAGTCCATTCCTCCACCCGAGTATTCTAGCCATCAAAGAAAGAAGTTTTTCGTAGAGTTGAAGTATTACTTTTGGGAGGATCCCATTCTCTACAGAAGAGGCGCAGATCAGATAGTCAGAAGATGCATTCCTGAAGATGAAGTATCGAAAATTCTAGCGCATTGTCACTCTTCTGCATATGCTGGGCATTTTGGAGCTTCAAAGATTGCTGTAAAGATCCTACACTCGGGTTTCTATTGGCCTACTTTATTCAGAGACACATTCGAGTACGTGAAGAGATGTAATAGATGCCAACGAACTAGAAATATCTCAAGAAGAAACGAGATGCCACTAAACTACATCTTGGAGGTTGAAATATTTGATGTATGAGGAATAGACTTTGTGGGACCTTTTTCCCCATCGTACTCAAATCAATACATCTTGGTGGTCATTGACTATGTCTCTAAGTGGGTGGAAGCTATTGCATTACCTACCAATGACGCAAAAGTGGTAATAGAGTTCTTGAAGAAGTACATATTTACAAGATATGGTACACCGAGGGCGATAATAAGTGATGGAGGAAAACATTTCATAAATCGTCAATTAGAATAGCCGTTGAACAAATATGGGGTGAAACATAAAGTAGAAACTCCATATCATCCACAAATCAATGGGCAAGTTGAAGTTTCGAACAGGCAGTTAAAGAGAATACTGGAAGTTACAGTGAACTCATCCCGAAAAGATTAGTCTAAGAAGTTGGACGATGCACTGTAGGCTTATAGAACAACGTTTAAGACACCAATAGGAATGTCTCCATACAGCCTGGTTTTTGGGAAAGCGTGTCATCTACCGTTGGAGTTGGAGCACCGAGCATATTAGGCTATGAAACAGTTGAATATGGATCTCAAGGCTGCTAGTGAAAAACGACTGCTGCAACTTAATGAATTGGATGAGCTGAGAATGAAAGCTTACGAGAACTCAAAGTTGATCAAGGAGCGCACCAAGAGATGGCATGATTTACACATTCAGAGGCGAGAGTTTAAAGTTGGCCAAAAAGTGTTATTGTACAATTCTAGACTCAAACTCTTCCCAGGAAAGCTAAGAACAAGGTGATCGGGTCCCTATACCATAACTAAGGTGATGCAATATGGGGCTATTGAAGTGAGTCACGAGACCAAAGGCACATTTATCATTAATGGGCAAAGACTAAAACATTATTGGGGCTATAACTTCCCTAAACAGAAGTCCACTGTGCAACTCAGCAACCCAATGTGAAGAAGGCACAGGAAAGTCGAGCTATCGACTATAAACTAGCGCTGGGTGGGAGGCAACCCATTATATCCTTCAATTTATTTTATTACATTAGTTTAGGAATTTGTTTAAATTTCATATGTTTTACTAGGTCATCATTCATTCACGCATGATATTCTAGGCACTACACGCTTATAGTTGCATGAGTCGGGGGCTAAATAAAGTGTTTTGGGTGTTTGAGTGTGAAGTAATGCATTTCGTGGTTCAAAGTTGTTCGTTTTGTTTTATTTTTCGAGATGCTTTTCAAAAACTTTTGTAAAGAATTGGTTTTGGTGCCAAGTTTTCAATAAGCATATTCCCTTTCAAGTAAAACTAAAAATAAAAAAATTTTGGCTTTGTCCATGCGGCCGCATGGACCCCTACCGAAACAAAAAAAGGGGGCATCAATTATACCATGCGGCCGCATGGTGTATAAGTGACGGGTTATTAACCCGTCACTTTCAAAACCCACCCCATTTCCCCCCATTCCACTTGCACACGAACACACTTATCAAATCACCCGCACATCCACTCTTCATCCAAGCATCACATTATTCTCTTCATTGGCATTAATATCAAGAACATTGAAGCAAAATTCTCTACCTTCATCTCACACAAAGCTCTCAAGGTAAGAAATTTAACTTTCTATGCAAAGATTGAAGTACTTCTTTGATTTTATGAATTTTTCGAAATGGTTGAGTGTTGAAATGAGATTGAGTTGTGATTTGTGGATTAGCTCTAAGTGTAGATCAATAACAAATTTTAAGGAATTCTCAATGCACACAACGTGTTTGATTAAATATCAATGAGACATATGATTTGAAATTTTGGACTTTTCATTTGTGTGATGATTTATATTGTTATTGTGAGGCGTAATAGACGAAAAATCTCATGGAATTTCATTAAAACACATTCGCCTCACATATTTGTGTACATAAACACATAATTGCCAAGCCATGTCAACTCACGTCACTAACTTCGTCCATGTATTTTCCTAACCAAACGACCTCCGATTGTAGTGAAATTTGGATATATGCTAGACCACAATGAGTACTTTCATATATCCAGACCTTGTTCGGGAAAATTTTAATATTTCTCGGTGATGCTCGGGGCTGAAGATGGTCACTTAGTCATGGGTCGAATTTTCAAAAGTGCATGTTAAAGCCATAGTTTTGAGTTTTTCTTATTAATGCAATATTGATGTTACATTGACTTCCATACGTTGAATATTACACACATTTTGAAGAAAGTTTGGGAGATTCTTGCATGTCAATGATATTCTTTATCGTTTTCTTATTTCAAGAACTTGATACACTTTGTTCCTTACTTTTGTAGGATGCCGCCGAAGAGAACATCAAAAGAAAAAGAAAAAGTTGGTTCCTCCTCCGGTACAGCCCACACCAGAGAGCTAATAGGAGGTATACGAAGATTTCGAAATGCAGAAACATTAGCTTGATACGAGAACATAATACGCCATTGGGGCATGATACTAGAGAGACAGGTCCGGTTAGAGGACTTTAGTGGTTTTAAGTTGACAAATTTGATACAAATCTGTGGATGGGATAAGATTGTAGAAAAGCTACACCCGATTTATGAAAGTATAGTCAGCGAATTTTATGCAAACTTCAATAGTGAAATTGAGACTCCGGATTCTGAACACTTACACTAGACGTGGGTGCGAGGTAAGTGGATAATGTTCTCCCCAGCCGTCATTCATGACTTCTACAATCTTAATTTGGACAATGTGGTCCCGATTCCCACTCAATTCAATTGGAATGAAGTGGCGGAGGTTCTCTTGGGAAGAGAAAATGCTTGGCCCCTACCCACTATAGAGTGGCATCAAATTGAGTTTACTCCCTCCATAGCCATCCTCTGGGTCTTCATGTGCCATAATATCGAACCCACATCGCATCGGACAACTTTCACGGATCAAACTGCTGGGTTCATATATCATTTAGTTCGGGGATGCAAAGTTGATTTAGCTACTCTTATCTATGACCAGATACAAAATTTGGGGACGTGGGGAGATAGGCGGTCTTCGATGATCTTCCCTAGTCTGGTTAGCGAGATATGTCTCGCCGCCGGTGTTACAGTTGAGGCAGGGGAGATGCCTGAAAAATTAAGCCCACTGATAAAGCTCACAACATTTGAAGCTCAGGAACGAGCTAGGGTGGGGAAGAGAGAACAAGACCGACTTGAGCAGCAAAGACATAATGCGCAAGAAGAAGGACAAGCAGCTGAAGATATACACCTGCCACAAGCCCCGCCACAACCAGCTGAAATGGATTCGCAGCTACTTTGACAGATATTTGCCACCGCCACTGGAACTAGCAGGGATATACAAAATCTCCAGCAGAGGTTCGAGACGATGACCATCACTGTTGAAAAAGTGCAGAGAGACCTCTACTCCTCTCGAGACTACACAAAAGGCGCTATGAATGAAGCCACAGCTGTAAGAAGGGAAGTAGAGACTATGAAAGGTAGGTTCAACATGTACGCTGGGAGAATGGATGGCATACAGTGGCGTGTGAACGAAACTTGAGATCATTTGGAAAGTATGGAAAGTAGGCTTCAAGCCATTCAGGCCGAGCAAGCACAGCAGTCCGAGTTGCTGAGACAACTCTTATCTCACCTCCCATCTCCTCCTGAAGATGATGCTGCGGGTCCCAGCTTCACACCACGGCCACCGAATTAATCAGTGGAGTTTTGTTAATCTCATAGTGCCAAGTTGTGTCCATGTTTTAAATTCTGCCATTTTTACTTTACATTTTACATTGAGAACAATGTATTATATAAGTTTGGGGAATGGTAGCATAATTTTAAACAAATATTCAGCATGTAATTATTTTGCATATTCACAATCCATCATTAATTTTGATAAGTTTTTGCATGATGCATGCTTGATGAGTGAGTCTTGATGAACTTTTGCATGCTTGTGTGGGTTTGGTAGCCTTGCCGGCTATGATGTGATTATTGGACATGTATAAACTAGAAACTGTGGATTTAGTGCAGGATTTGATTTGCTAATACTTGTTGATTGCATTGCTTGACATTCTTTTGCACGCCACTCATGCTTCACGTGTTAAGTTATTGATTTGAATTCTAGAATAAATTAGGAGAAACCTAGAGTAACCCTCTATAACATTAACCCGTAACACCACTTTGAGATAGTTTGGAGATGGTTGAGCCATTATAGGGAAACATGAAGATAAGTGGGGGCTCCGTGCATGAAATTATACTGTGTGGATTGTTTAGACCCGAAAGGTGAGAAATAGGTGAAAGCTTTATGTTGAGGAGGTTTTGGAAGTCAAATGTCTAGAAAAACAAAAAAGGGGTATAAAATAAAAATTGGAAAATCATCACTTCTCTCAAAAGCCTTTATGATTGAGCAAGTAAGTCTGTAAGGGTTTAAAACCTGATGCCCTAATACCAATTGGTTTGGGAGTCATCAGCCTAAAGCTAGTTACAAGGGTCATATAGCAAGCAAGAAAAGGGAGAAATTGATAAAAAGTCATCTTATCAAGCCTTTATAACTCGAGTGAATAAGACTGCAAGGGTTTAAAATCTGGTGCCCTAAAGCCAACTGGTTTGGGAGTCATCCTAAAGCTCATTACATGGGTTATATAGAAAGCAAATGAGAAGATAACCTTGATGCGAGGCAAGTAGCTTAGTTTAATCATTAAGGTTGAAGCAATCAAAATAAGGAGAGTCTCTACTTGTTGATATGTGAACTTGTAATGTTAAAATCTATCCAAACTAAGAGAGGGTAAAGATTAAAATTGTTTAAACTCCTAACCTTAGAATACACCCCGGAGTAATTGAGTGAAAAGAATACATTTGGGAGTTGTGTATCTCTCGAGTGACGTAAGGATAAATTTGACCACTATGGGTCGAGAATAAACTAATCATAAGCTTGATATGTTGGCATGAGTTCACACGCACACGTTGAGTATTGCATTTGATGAGTAAAGGTTGATTCAATTCTCACACTTTTGATATTGTTTCTATTATTATTACTAAGTTCCAATCCTGAGACACGGCAAACTATTAAGCCATGTTTGTTTAGCATTAAGTCACTACATTGTTTGAGGACAAACAATAGTTTAAGTTTGGGGGATTTGATAAATGTGTTTTTACACACTTATTTAGCTCACAAACATGACTTAAATATGGACAAAGTAGTTGAATTGTGACTTAATCTCATTAAATTCATGCAATGGAGGTGTTTCTATGGAAAAGATGGAATTCAGAAGAAACGAGTCGAAAAAGGACCAAAAAGGAACAAAGCGATAGTTCGGGGACCAAAGGTGCAAATATTGGAAAGTTAAGCTAAAGTGCAGAACGAGAATGAAAATATGCCAAGTATGAGATTGAGGATGATACAAGATGATCGGAGGAAGAAAGAAGTAATATCGGACGGAATTGAAAAAAAGTGAAAGATGAACTAAATTGCAATT